CCCAATACCCTAAAGCCCTAAAGCCCTGAAGCCCTAAACCCCAAAACCCTAAACCCTAAACCCCTTAACCCCTAAACCCCTACACCCGAAACCCCCTAACCCCTAAACCCCGAAGCCCTAAACCCCGAAACCCTAAACCCTCGACCCCAATAAGTTAAGACAAGACGCACGGTCTACGTTGGTCGCTCGCGAACTTAGGTGTCCCTGTGTAGGAACTTGAAAGCGACTCTAACTTTGGGTTTAGGGTTTAGGGTTTAGGGTGGTCAACCCCCTGAAGCCTGAAAGCCCAGTAGTCAATACTTATTTAGGGTTTAGGGTTGAAGGTTTAGGGTTTAGTATAGGGACCTCAAACCCTAAACCAAACAACAATCGCAAGAAAGGAGTCCTTTAAGCTCAATCGCATCATATCCGGTTTGAGCAAGTAAAGCCCGTAGATCTGTAGATCATGTGTGAATTGGATTCCATCTTCCTCGATCTTCTCCACAAACCATGTGACATTGACCCACAGGCTTTGCTGCTCGTTCCGTATGACCTGACTGGTCTCCTTAGATAACTAGTTTGAGGAATGACAGGTATCTTCCCCGCGAGATCATTGGCAACATCGCCGTGACCGGCTTGTGCGAAATAACTGTAGACCTATTAGTAACAAGAGCTAGGGTAATACCTCTGCCCTAAAGCCTCGGATAATATGTCTAAATGGGTAGTTCTCTAAATTAGGGTCCCTTTTCAAGTCCCCAATATAGTACGGCACCCTTAGAAAAAGGACCCTAAAAGGGACCCCAATTTAGAGAACTAGCCAAAAAGGAGTCCTTTTGGGCCCAACAAGGGAACGTACAAAACATATCCCAAAAGGCCTAGGTAGCCAAACACGAACCGACCACTCCTGCCCCACTGACCCTGAAAACATCAACCTTCAACTCCTCTGGGTTTAGGGTTTAGGGTTTAGGGTTTAGGGTTTAGGGGCTCCAGTGCCTCGGCCTGCCAACCACCGATGGAAAAACAACCTCCCAAGCATTGCGCTTGAAGCTTGCGAACCGGCTTAGGGTTTACCTAGGCCCTAAAGAACCCACCTGTTTAAGGACTCTTGTAAGGAAATCATGACAATCATAAGGAGCCCTAAAAAGGGTAGGTAAGCAATATACCTTAAACTATAAGGGGCTTATTATTATGATTTAAGGTATATTCTTTAATTAAGGGGTAGTGGGCTCTCTCCCTAAACCCTGAACCCTAAACCCTGAACCCCTCTGGGTAGGGTTTAGGGATGCCCCTTAACTACTTGTACGCTTAGACTGCAGCTCTGCAGGGCCAGTGGGGTCTGGGAAGGATTGATAGGGTTTAGGGTTTAGGGTTTAGGGCTTAGGGTTCAGGGTTTAGGGTTCACCCTAAACCCTGTAAACTCCTTTGTAAGCCCCTATAAGCAAGCCTCGAGGTGTCAGGCTTCAGGCAGGGCGCAGCCGTCCGGTATTAGGCTTAAGGCAACGGGTTTCAAACGTGGGAGGAGTTGGAGGTTAAGGTTTTGGGGTTTAGGGTTTAGGGTTTAGGGTTTAGGGTTTAGGGGGAGTTGGGGAATAAGAAGTCTATATAAGATTCTATTGGTGGATGAAGTGTGAGATGCATTTTATGAAGGGCGTAAAGGACGGCCACAGAGCGCGCACTACCGGCCTAAGTGACGTCTGAGCAACGCTTCTCGCGCCCTGCGGCCAACTCGAATCTAGGGGCCTTACTAATTAGAATAGGGTTTTGGGGCTCCTTATACTATAACTATAATAAGGAACCCCCTAACTAAAATTGGTAATTATTGAGGCCCCAATACTATACTCTTAGCATATAACTATAATAATAAGGAGCCCCCCAAATCGTCTTGGTAACTATTGAGGCCCGTATATTATACTCTTAGCATCTGAGTCTGCGAGACTCGTCTGGGGTCTCAGCTTTTTGAGGTAGGCTGGCCTGGGTGGGAACACTCCGAGCCGCGTAGAGGCCGAGAAACTAACCTAGCTGCGTAGAGGGATATCCAGCGATGGAGAAAATTGGATAATCATGAGGTGTGTGTGAGAGATTGTGATAGCTTAATCAGTCAGAAATGTGTTTAGACTGTTCCCTACTGCTCGCCAGCGAATAGGTGTGCTGGCTGGAAAACGACCGTGGTCGCCGGATGCCGCCGGACACAACATGATAAAACATGGTAAAACGATGCTTGCACAAGCATTCGTGAGGCCCTCATGATACTCTGTGACGATGCGGTCGGTTCGTTGCGATCGGCATGCTCAATCTCGTTACTACTTGGAGGCCCAGGGGACTTAGTAAGTCGGTTCTAAGTGGGGTTATAATTGGGGTAACTTCAGTTAGGGTACTTATAACTCTACTTATAACCTACTTACTAAGCCCCCGTGGGCCTCCAAGTAGCTTCTTTGAGATCCTGAAACGCTTTCCTGCCAGGTGGCTCTGCTCTTCTCAGCTGCGCGCACGGGATGCTGCGATGGTGTTCGGTAAGGCCGGGTAAACACCCAAGGTTTAGGGTTTAGGGCTTAGGGTTTAAACCCTGAACCGAAAGCCCCTGAACACCAAGTTCTGACAAGGACAGTACCCTTCTATCCGCCAGGGGACTTACTATGGTTTTATGGTGACAGAACCCTGCTGCTTAGCTACTTTTTCTAGTCTGACCACAGACTAGAATACAGTCTTTCATAAGGGTCCGCAGAACAATATTTGACAGCCCGAAATTCGCCCACATCTTCCAAGCCTCGAACTCACACCTGGATTCGTGCCTGAACCCAAAACCCCGAAACCCTGCAGCTTACGGCATCTGTCGATCCCCAAATCTAGTCGGGCGTTTAGGGTTTAGGGTTTAGGGGTTTTGGGCATATGTTGTTTTTTATCTTTAAGGCCCTTTTCTGTTGCTTACGCTCCAAAGCCCCATTACTATCGCATCCTCAGTTCTCACCTGAGGTTTAGGGTTCAAGGTTTAGGGCATTCCGTGAAACCATGCCCACAACAGCCCTAAACTCTAGGAGATTTTCAGGTGGGCAGTTACCGTTGTAGGAGCCTAATAGAAGGTCTAGGAGGTCTATATACCTTATAGAAGCCTCATAGAAGCCCTATATACCCTAAACTCCCCCCTAAACCCTAAACCCTAAACCCCAAACCCTAAACCCTAAACCCTAAACCCTAAGCCCCTAACCCCTCTATAGTTTCCTTTACTAAGTTCCAAAGCACCACACGACCAACACCGCACCAAGAGCCTCTGGAACTGCATCGCCAGCAAAGCCAGCGCGACCTGACGTGAAGGTGCAACAGTGGAGCTTGAAGTTTACCTAACCCAATAGGGTTCAGGGTTTTGGGGTTAGGGGTTTGGGGTTTAGGGTTTAGGGCTTGAAATCAGGGGTCCTATGTACTGCTATGGGGGATACTTCCCTAAATCATAATAGCCGCTCCTGTTATGGGGATAGAAACCCTACAATCTGCTATCCATCTATCTATCTATCTGTCTATCTAGTATCTATCGATCTATCTATCTATCTAACTATCTATCTACCTATCTATCTATCTATCTATCTATCTACCTACCTATCTATCTATCTATGTATGTATCTATCTCTCTGTCTATATATGTACAGAGGACCTTGTGGCTAAGCTGCCAGCCTGTGGGGTGACTAGGGTTTCCAATTGCTGAGTTTCCCGGCCCCAAGACGGTTAAGGTTTAGGATTTAGGGTTTAGGGATTAGGGATTGGGGCTTAGGGTTGAGGGTTTAGGGATTAGGGCCTAGGGTTGAGGGTTTAGGATTTAGGATTTAGGGCTTAGGGTTGAGGGTTTAAGGTTTAGGATTTAGGGTTTAGGGCTTAGGGCTGAGGGCTTAGGGCTTAGGGCTTAGGGCTTAGGATTTAGGGTTTAGGGATTAGGGCTTAGGGTTGAGGGTTTAGGATTTAGGATTTATAGGGTTTAGGGCTTAGGGCTGAGCGCTTAGGGTTTAGGATTTAGGGTTTAGGGCTTTGGGATTAGGGCTTAGGGTTGAGGGTGCGGGGTTTAGGGTTTCGGATTTAGGGTGTAAGTCTTAGGGATTAGGGCTTAGGGTTGAGGGTTTAGAATTTAGTGGGTGAGGGTTTGGGGTCTAGGGCTTTGGGTTTAGGGCTGGTTAACCTGTCAAGTCTGGTGCAATTAGGTTTTTGGTTTACCTTAAGCCCCCGCCCCAAAACTTGCTTTTGCAAGGCGATGTGTCACGACATCGCAATGAGAAAACCTACCAATGTAGGTGCTAGAAGTTGTAAGCCACATAACTGTCATACATCCTTCAGCCATGCAGCTCGACACAAAAGAACCCCGAAGCCAAGTGGCGTTTGGGGTTTGAGATAATATAACCCTAGACCCTAAACCCCTAAACCCTAAACCCGAAACCCCTAACCCCTAAACCCTCAACCCTAAACCCTAAACCCTCAACCCCAAAACCCTAAACCCTCACCCCCAAAGCCCTAAACCCTAAAC